AGATGCTGGTAGGTGGATTTTGTTACTGCTGGATGGAAAGAGCTAGGTTAACTGTTTTCCTATGTTTCTAGTCTTTATGATTAACTAAGCTAAATAGCTGCTAGCTGTACCTCCATGTCTACCACATAAGTCGTATCAATCTTCTCATCTAACTCTCTGCAGCAGCGAATAAGCGCATTTCCCAAAATGTTAAACTGTTCCTTTAACGTCAAATGATTAAAACCTCGGGTGAAGCTAATGCTCAACAACTGTTTTCGACATTCAGAAACTTGAGAGCCTGCAGTGGCTGTGTGTGTCAGCTGCTGTCCCTGCCGTCAGTCGACAGAGCTGAAGTGTGTGTGCGTACAAGGCCCGGAGTGTGTGGTACTCAACAGGTGGTCCTCAGGGTTTACTTGAATGGAGGGTTTCTTCACAGAAGAACCCCGACAAAGACTCTGTGTACACACACGGCCCTGCGCCGTAACCTAAACTGCAGGGCTGGTCCCCCTTCAACGCAGCCGTCATCTGCTGCTCGGATAGGGGTTTAGTGGCACGCTTATACTCTGACATGCACAGGCTGACATATGGACGCACTACTAATCACATTAGGGACTTTACATTTTAATTAAAACATGAATGAAATTAAAAACATGGGAGGACATCAAGATTATTCTTATTAAGCGCTTTATTAGTGATATATATTTGTTCAAACTGTCCTATAAGCAGTTTGTGGTAACTTCTGACCAGTTAAGTACGTTCTGAAGGAGAAAACTTTTGATCAAAAAATTGTCAGATTAACTGAAATTATTATTTACAGTCTAGCTGTGTTAATAAGTACACAGCTAGACTGTAAATAATTATTTCAGTTAATCTGACAATTATTGCCTCAATTAATTGATAAAATAGTTGTTTTGTCCATCAAAAAGCCCAAAACTCAAAGATATTCAGTTTATAACACAAAAAACAGCTGGAACCAGAGAAAGTTTGGCATTTTTGCTTGAAAAATTACTTAAATTAATCAATTATCAAAATAGTTGCCAATTAATTTTCTGTCAATTGATTTTTTGTTTCAGTTCTAGTCAAAAGCCGCAGAAATGTCTCTGATAATTAGTCTTATATGAGGATTTAAAATTAAATTCACCACAGTGATACGCCTTATTAATGGACCAAAACGACCAAACAACCCTTAAACAGAACAGAAATACTCTCTAACAAAAAAGTTAACGAACGTGTTTGTGTACACCCATACACACACAAACACAGGCATGGACACAAAGGAGCAGTCAGACAGTTTTACAGCCATGCATGAACACACACACACATACGCTGGTTGTAATCCAGTGGTATGCGCTGAGTTGTTTAGTGTAACAGGTCAGCATTGTTCAGCAGTGATATTCACGGCACATGTGCCTCGTGTCAAAGGTCAAGTAGTCTCAGCTGTACTCAGAAGCGCGTAAAGTGACGGTTCAGCCCCTGTGATGGGTGTGTGTGTCTGGCAGCTGTGCAAGGTCTTCAGACAGCAAGTGTGTGTGTGTGTGTGTATTTGCTTCTCCTCACTGAAGAAGTCAATAGATGGCTGTGCACTTTTACTGTACACAGCTCATCAGTTAAAACAAAGCAGTGGACACATGCAGACACATGTGGACTCGAGATGAGCAGAGCACTAATTACAGGACCTGATTAGCCTCATAACAAACTCACACTGCTCAGCCAGACATTGTTTAAAGCCACAGAATTTCATCTTGATATCTAGTGGAGATTCAAATTAGGTTTAATGTTTGGGGAATGTGTATAAAATAATGCACAAGA